AACAGACAATTTTCAATAGTAATTTGTTTTCAAGTGACAACGTCGTCATGACGTTTTTAGAAATTAAGAATAAAAAAAAACAAATTTAATAAATCAGTTCTAAAAAAATTTGTAAATTGCTTTCTTGTTTATACAAGAAAAATTGAAACACGTAAACAATTCATTTTTAATTAAATCTTTCCATTGAATGACTTATCAAAACTGATAAATTTTTATTGTAACAAATTTTGAGAAGAAGAGAAGAAAGAAGAAGAAAAAACTTAAACAGTGGTAAAAATGTGATCTTCTGAAACATAAGTAAGAGTAAAAAATTGAAGTAAAAGAACAAAAATAAAAAAAAACCTAAACAAACATAAATCTCAATTTAAAAATAAAATCAATGTAAAAAACGCAATATTGATACGCAAAGCCACAAAGTGGTGATTTTTTGCCATTGTCCAGTTCAACTCAAAAAAACATGAAAATGCATGTCGTGGTAAGCCACAAATAACTAGAAACTCAACAACGTATCATTTTCTACAATTTAATTTTTATAAATTCGGCGAAACGTTTGAAATTACACCTTATCGTGATGGAAAAAAGTTGAAGGTTACTTAATTATAAAGCGAGACATAAAATTTAGCAAAAATTATGAAAATAACGGATGACTTTAGCGGTCATTGCATTCAATCCACATTGCAGAAATTCTAGGTCACCATTATTTGCTTTGTTTTACTCGTCTACCATCAAAGTTTGTTACTAGTAATTTATGTATTTTTTTTTTAAATCAATAAAAAGTAGACAGTCTCTAACATAGTTGTTTTTGAGTTTTAAGTGATCTTTTATTAAAGACGAATTCGAAGACCAAAATTGGATTTGTGCTCTTATCAGCAAGATATAGACTTTCCATTTTAGAAAAGAGAAATCTACATAATTAACAGTTTTAAAATAATTTCATTGATAAAGTCTAGATTATGATACTGTTGACGGTGTTCTTAAAAAATATGTGTAAAAAGTCTATTGAAATAGACTTTATTGAAGATGTTTGGATACCACTTCTTGGCTCCAAAGAAAATTTATCAATGTTGCAACATTGCAAATATCCTAGGATACAGAAAATGTTGTTAAGTTAAAAATTATCTTACTTCAGAATTTTTGGAGCGTTTTAGCACGTTTCTCAGCTGGAAACACAATAATTTCGCTAAATTTTGGTCAAAAATTTGACAAAATAAGCATTATTTTTGCTATTTTTTAGTGTTTATCGTTTTTGAGATGATAATAAAAGAAATTTGAGAAATAAAAAACCAGACGCTCATTAATTTTGCAAAAGTTATGTCCAAACACGCTTAAAAATTGGAAAAAAATATTTTATTTGTTTCAGTTGATTTACATGTTGACTTTTGAGCAAAAAAGTTAAAAATAAGCCAAAAAAACACAAAATTTGGTAAAAAATGCTGTTTTTGTACTAAAATCTCAAAGTTTTCGCTATATTTCAATAAAATCGAAATTATTTCGTATAATTTTTTATAAAGTATTTCATTTTTTGAATCTGTGTACCTCAAAGTAATCTCAGTCTTTAAAATAATTTCTCTTTATCTATAAAAGTCTTTAGTTTTTGTCTCTTTAATCTTTATTTTTGTCTTTGTACTCACATTTATCCATATTTTAATATAAAAATTTCTCAAAGATACTTTCTTTCAAATTGCAAGCTTTAAATCTGTACAATCTTTAAACTGTCTGCACCTTTCTGTTTTTTATCTTTCAATTTTCAAGATAATTTTCGATCTATGTATTCCAGTCTCCCTTTTTATTATTCTTCTTTAATTTCCGATTGTTGAATTTATGCAGTCTTTATTTCTTTTGAATCTTTATACCTCAACGAAAATAATTTTCTTCTATTTCTGTTCTTCTAGTTTTCTAAGTCCACTTTTTATTTTGGATATTTATCAATATTTATCATCTTTCAAATTTGTAATTTGCTTTTAAACCAGAGACTCAATTATTGCGGAAAATCATATCCAAACATGTCAAAAAATAACAAAAATAGATTGTAATTGATTTTTGAGTAAATTTAGGACAAAAATAAACTGAGAAACTGCAAAATTTGGTCAAAAATGCTATTAAAGACGTTTTTGTACTAAAATCTCAGTTTTTTGGATTTTGGAAACAATTTAAAAAATCAAGAAACTAAGTCAAAAAATATATTTCTCGACCGTTTTAGCACGTTTTTCAGCTAGAAACGCAATTATTTCCCAAAATTTTCTTAAAAACAAGCTGAAAAATCAACAAGATAGGCCAAAACTGTGTAGTTGTTGCCTTTATTGAATGTTTAAGCACGTTTTTAAAATAAAAATACAAAAAATTCAAAAGAAACTTCTTTAACAAGCAAAAAAATTAAATCAAAATTGGTTTTTTTAGTTTGTTTCGCTCGAATTACTTTGAGAGGCTTATTTATTTTGCAAAATCTTGTTCAAACACGTTTAAAAATGACAAAAAAATTGAAAGTGGTGTTATTTTGTTGGTAGTTTTTGGGCAAAATTAGGAAAAAAATGAGCCGAGAAACGTCAAAATTTGGTCGAAAACACATTTTTATACTAAAATCTCAAGTTTTTCGCGTGATTTCACTAAAATAATAATTAACAAATTAAGTCAAAATTATATTACTTCAGACTTTTTGGCGCGTTTTAGCACAATTTTCAGCTGGAAACACAATAATTTTGCTAAATTTTGTTCAAAACACGTCAAAAATTTGACAAAGTAGGCATTATTTTTGCCATTTTTGAGTGTTTATCGTTTTTGAGATAAAAATAAAAGAAATTTGAGAAATTAAAAAACCAGACGCTCATTAATTTTGCAAAGTTATGTCCAAACACGCTTAAAAATTGGAAAAAAAATTATTTGTTTGTTCTGTGAAATTTGAACGATTAAAGTCAAAAAGGTTTCCTAGATACGAAAAATACCTGAGTGAAATAGTTTTTTGCAATATTGCCGCTTTGTGCTGTTAGACAAACTGTTTAAATTTTAAAAAGAATCTATTTAGACTATTTTTGGAATGATGGTCACAATGTTTCAATAACAAAGGACGCGCCTGTTTCAATCGTGTATCATCCTGTATACAAAACATTTTTTATTGGGTTACCATTTACAAAAATTATTTTTTTTTTAAAACAAAAAAAAACGAAAAATTTTATTCTTGATAAAACATTTAATTCATCAATTAGTTTTTAAAAAATAAATAGTTTAAGCAAAAAATTTATATTTCTGTGTACATATATCGAAAAATGCTACGCAAGGGGTGCCAATAGGTTTTTTTTTCAATATTTCCGAAATCATTTTAGCAAAAAATTTCGAAATTTGTTACAGATGATAACTTTTATACACCTAAACAAGTACAAAAATAAAATGTTGATATTTTTAATTAGGTGCTTCCTAAACTAGATGGGATTAGGGTAAAAATTTACTCTAACTATTTTGCCTGTGGTTTCTTGCCACTTTCAGCAACAAAATTTCATAGTTTTTCATAAGAAAAGGTCTTTTGTGTTTTTCCGATACAATTTACGAATTTTGATTAAAAATCGGTTTAAAAATTTATGTAACAGACCATAAAAATTAAAAATTAAATTTGTTTTACCGTTTAGGACGCCCCTGATTAAAAATTTTGTTATTTAGCATTTGTTTAGGTGTACATATGAAAGTACCAAATTTTGTAATTTTATCTATTCTCAAATATTAGGAAAAACCCTTTAAAAAACGTACCTTTTTTAGGGGGTGTAGCTCCTTTTCATAGCATTTTTCAAAACACTTTTATCTTAAAATTAAATATTCTATTAACTATTTAAATTTGTACCTAACAATAAAAATGAAACACTGTATAATTCACAGATGAAAAATTAATTCACAAAAATTTAAAATTAACTCATTGAAATAACAAAAAAACTACATTTTTAACACTTATAAAACAAAGTGCTCAGCATTTCGGGGGGGAGGGGGGTTTGAACCCCCTAATCCCCTCCTTGGGTACGGCCCTGGTTTATTTTTGTGTGCATATACAGGCTGTCCCAACGGTCCGAAAAAGCTCTATAACTTGTTTATTTTAAGATATATTGACTTTTTCTTTTGTTAGATTATGCACATTTTAAAAATATTGGGGTGTATATACAGGGTATCCCAATATTGAAAAAAAGACCACTCTATTTTTATTGTTCAAATCAGAAAAGTTTTCCGAAATTTAGTTAATTTAAGATAGCAACTTAGAATTTTACACTAGACTAAACAAACCTTATATTGATGGAAAGCTTGTCAAAAGATCTTTTGATTGGTACAATAATAAATAGTAAGTGCCATTTGAAAAAAATTAGTTTTTGACAATTTTATTTTGTCATGTTTAAAAAATCGCAGTAGGCACATGCCACTGAGCAGGTTGTTGATTAAACACTTAAAAGATGCGGCAAACATTCAGGAATCAAACGGCGTTAGATACTTTAATTTGTGTGCAAGCATTTAGAAGTTACGAATTTTTAGACAGACCCCTGCATTTCAAAAATTCTGGTAAAAAAGCGCCACAAATCAAAATTGATAACAGATAAATGAAAACAACCTCTATAAAAGTTATTTGTAATTTAGCATAGAATCCAAAAATAAAATCAAACTGAGTAGATTCCATTTAAAAAAACATAACTTTAGTGTTTTTTTAATATTGGGACATCCTGTATATAAACCGCAATATTTTTCAAATGTGCATCAAAAACGCTGCTATAATGTAAAAAAAAGAAAAAGTCAATATCTCTTAAAATAAACAAGTTATTGAGCTTTTCGGGCCGTTGGAACACCCTGTATATGCGCATATTTTACGTATTTTTCGTGCATATAATCCGAGCCTTAGTTATTACATAATAAAATGATATTCAATTTCTACAAGTCATAATTCATAAATTTCCTATCACTTGACGAAACTCTTCGATAACAATTTCACTATAAACAGTATAAATCACCACTCCAAGATCATTCATGAATCAGCCAAAATGAAGCAACGACTACTTTGGTTGCTTTTCGTGTCGCAAGTTTTCGCTGAAAAACCCTCAGTCATCATTGTGGGGGCTGGTGTTTCAGGAATTTCAGCAGCTGTGAAACTGATCGAAAATGGGATCACAAACATCAAAATTTTTGAGGCCGAAGACCGGATTGGGGGCCGCATCCATACGGTGGAATTCGGTGACAATTTCATCGATATGGGGGCGCAATACTGTCACGGGGAAAATGTGGTGTATGACACAGTGAAAAATTTGGACCTTTTGGAGCATGCCGAGCTGTTTTCGGCCCCCAAAATGTACTACTCCAATGGTTCCCACCTCCAGAGTCAACTAATCCAAGATTTGGAAACGGTGGTAACAAACTATGACCGGGACATAAACAGAACCAAGGGGGTGAGTCTTGGGGAAGCCTTCTTGGAGAAGTACCAAAAAAAAATTTTTTGTTCCCTTTTCTCTCAATTCAAGTTTCAGGTACCAAAATACGATTTTAGACAAGTATAAAAATGATCCTGAAACCCATAAATTGGCATCTGATGGGTTAATTTTCGCCCATAGTACCATCCTGATGCATGAGGGGGCCTTCCATTGGTCCCGTCCCGCCTCAGGGAGACACTACAAACCCGTCAAGGGTGACCAAATGATGGTATGGAAAAAACGCGGTTACGACATGATTTTGGACGTCCTTTTGAAACGTTACCCAGACCCATCCCAAAAAATCCCAATTGAAGAAAAACTATTTTTGAAGAAAAAAGTCACTAAAATTTCATGGAGTGGTACCCCTGTTGTGGAATTATCAGATGGGACAACCCATAAAGCCGACCATGTGATAGTCACCCCATCGGTGGGTGTGCTAACCCATGAGGATTTATTCGACCCTGTGGTCCCCCCACGGAAACAGGAAGCCATCAAATCGATGGGTTTCGATGGGATTATCAAGATTATCCTGTACTTCCCCGAAAAGTGGTGGCATGACTCCGACTCCACGTTTTTTTTCCTGTGGGATCGTAGGGATTTAGAGGGAGTAACAAAGGAATTCAGTGAAGGGCCCAATTCATGGGTGACGAATTTGGTCGCTTTGGTTAGAGTACCATCGAATCCCCATGTGTTGATTGGATGGGTCAGTGGTGGGTTAATCCCAGAAATGGAAAAATTGCCCCTTGATGTGATCAAAAAAGGGTCCATGTTTGTAATTAGGAAGTTTCTAGGGCGGGATTATAATATAACGGAACCAAAGGCGGTTTTGAGGTGAGTCCAGAAATCCCATGGGATTTCAAATTTCAAGTGGGATTTTAGGAGTGATTGGCACAATAATCCCAACTTCCGTGGTACCTACTCCTATGAGAAAAACGGTTATTTTGAGGAGGAGGTGCATTACCAGGACCATTTGGCCGAGCCTTTGACCCATGGAACCACCCCAGTGGTGCTTTTCGCGGGGGAGGCCACCCATCCCACCCATTACTCCACCGTTCATGGGGCTATTGAGTCGGGACGACGCGAAGCCGACCGGATTATCGCTCTTTATCCTTGATTTTGTAAATTTGATCAATAAATAATTCCACTCAATTACGATAACCTTATCACAAAATTCCTCTATTTGTTGTGAGTTATTCGAAAGACAACATGTCTTGGAGTCTTGTGTTATTTTTTTGTGTTATTGGAGAAGTTTTTGGGAATTTTTCGGTGATTGTGATTGGGGCTGGGCCTTCTGGGATCGCTGCTGCGACTAAACTTTTGCAAAATTCGGTCAATGTCACCATTTTGGAGGCCGAAAGTCGGATTGGAGGTCGAATAAACACTGTCAAGTTTGGGGATGGGTTGGTCGAACTTGGGGCTGAATATTGTCACGGGGAGGAGGGAAATATTGTCAAGGAGCTTGTCAAAGACTACGATTTACTTGAACCAACGTTTAATTACCTCAATGGGCAGATTTACTACTCCAATGGGTCGAAATTGAACCATGAGTTTGTCCGGGAGTTACAAGACTTGATTTTGAGCGAAAACAAGGAGGAGAACTATGACACTAGGGGAAAGTCAATTGGGGAGGTTTTCATGCACAGGTAAGAGTCCCAAAAATAACAAAAAAAAAACAACAAATTGTCAAAAAAGTATGACAAATCTGGTTAAAATGGTGGTTGTGTCGTAAAATACAAAAAATCTGCTGTTTTTACAGGTCAACTACTTTCTATTTCTATCATTGTTTGAATTGAGAAACCAAAACAATTCAAAGAGTGGTAAATCTGGTCGAAACAGTGGTGAAATGTAAAAAAAGCTTCCAAATTGTAGCCAAATGGGGATTTTCCTTGATGCTTTTGATATTTTGTGACAAATCTGAATCAGAATTCCAGAAGTGTTTAAAAGACCTATAGATTTTTCAAAAATCTTTTATAGTTTAAGCTAATTTTTTAATTTTTAATTGAATAAATTAATAGTGGAAACAAAAAAATGGTTTTAATGACTATTGGCCACCTCATTTAACGGATTTGGCACCCATTGAATTTTTTTCGTCTGTCGATTACAATTATACTTAGCATTGAAATTTACAGAAAAGTGGCCCAATTATTAATGAGTTTTTCATTTTTTATCACCATTACTATAATTTTTTGATTTTGTGAGGTATTAATTTTGGAATTTTATCGTAATTGTTTGGAATTATTTAGAAATTTTTTGACTTCTTCTTGGATCTTCTTGGTATGGAAACGATTGATTTAGTTTATTAACGCCATTAAATATGCATTTACACTTAATTAATTAATTAATTTTTGGAATTGTTATAATTATATTTGGATTGTCTGGAGTCACCATAATTTTAATTACTGGAATTACCGCTTTTTTTAGAATTTCGGAACAATTTTTTTTTGAAAATTGAGTTGAACTTAGAATCAATTGTAAATTACAGGAATTATTTTAGAATTACGAAAATTAAGTTGGAATTACAGGAATTAATTTAGAATTGTAGGAATTAATCTGGGAACAATGAATTAACAAAATTACTGAAATTGAATTTCGGTGAAATTTTTCTGAAATTACTAGAATTTTTTAAAATTACTGGAATGAATTTATGAAATTATCAGAGATAATTTTTTTTGTAAATTAAAATAATGGAATTATGATGGATCAATAGAATTACTGAAATTGAATTACCGGAATTACAAAATTACGTTGAATATCTTAGAAGTATCGTAATTAGTTTAGAATTACGGAAATTATATGTTGGCATTAAGTTGTAATTACAAGAATTATTCCGAAAACAATGGAATTACGATGAATTCAATATTAATCAATTGAAATTGAATTTCGGTAGATTTTTTTTAATTACTTATCGGAATTATTTGTAAACTACTGGAATTTTTTTGAAATTACTAAAATTATTAAGTTGGAATTAAGTTGTAATTACAGAAATTAATTTAAAATTGCACAAATT